AACTGTCCGATAACAACTTGGCAAGTGAATTAGTGGAAAATAGGAGTTTTTTAAACCAATCACAATCGAGGAAATTGTAATTTTTATGATTAATTAATTAATTAATTAATTTATTAATTTATTTATTTATTTTCATTTATGTATTTATGGTTGGATCTCCTTTCTTTTAGGCCATTATTATCATGAAACGCCTGAAAGTATGAGAAGACGACGTCAGAGAGACCGGCAGAGAGAGTCATCTGAGTTGATGCTGTTGAACTTCGGCGAAAGAGTTGTTTATATTTTTATACCTGTTAATAGTTGAGCTTCCTGCTTCTAAGTTTCTTTGAGAATTGAAAATTTTTGTGAAGTAAAGTCACCGTTAGGCCAAGAGGCTGAAACAACCGGGGCTTATCCCAGTTTCTGTAGCATTAAGCAACTAGGAGTATGTCCACTCCCCCTCCCCCCCTGGATGGGATGCCAGTCCATAACAACAACAAAGCACAGGACAGTAGCGATGTGATTGTAGTTTAGAAAAGTGCGCCATGCTTGCTGTTAACGTCTTCGGAAACATTTTGCTACCAATGGAAAACAGTTTGCCATTTGATTCAGCTTATATTTCGCAAACTGTTTCTTTTTTTTTAATCAGTGCTGTTTTAGATAAACATTTAAGACTAGAAATTAGGGAAATCACAAATCGATGTCATCTCGCTACATCATTTAGGCGATGAAATAAAAAATAATGTTACGTTATTATATCCCGAAAAAGTGTCAAATTGTTCCATACGAATAAATAAACAATAACATGTCAAATAGTTGAATGCGAATAAATAAACAATAATAGAGTTAATAACGGGTGTTGAGTTTAAACAAAGATTTAAGCGCTAATGAGGTCTGACTGGGTGTTAGGTTTTGGTTTGCGTTCACTGATGAGCAGCATGTCGAAGATCAGACAATTTAACTTTCCTGCGACTTTCCCTAAGTTATAAGAAATATTTCGCATGTAATAAAGTACCGGAAAACCTCTTATTCTGATTTATTAAGTTCAGGAACTTGAAAAGATTTTTTTTTGCAATTCTTCCAATAGGAGTGGAACCTATGACCTACACACCACTCCTTTGTCAGATTAAATCCGGTATCACCTTATCACAGTTACTTTTTATGAGCTCAGATTATCGGTATTCTTTGCCAGAAAAACGGAGGATTTATCTTGATTGAAGCGGTCAGAACGATTCACTCTGTTTTAGTACGCTTGCTTATATGTGAGAGATTTATTACAAAGATAAGAAATCTTAGCAAGAACACTTGGATCGAAGGAGCATTAAGAAGGATTCGTTCTGTTACAATACGTATGTGTATTTGTTGAAAACGAACCACAAGGATAGATGTGTTATTAGAATTGACGAAGTTGTCTGAACAGCTCGTACTGTTAAAATACGCATGCGTATTTGTTAAAAACATACCACAAGGAAAGAAGTAGAGATAGAATTTAGAGTCCACAATAGCTCACACCGTTTCAATACGCATGCGTATTTGTGAAAAGCTGACCACAAGGATAAGAACGGTACGAAGCTTAAAGGGTCTTGGTTTTTCTTGGGTGTGGCGGTGGGGGATGGTGGATGGATCCCATCTCGATTTTTCACTCATTTCGAGATTGAACTTTCTTGATTCAGATACCATTAAAAAGTGGCATTTTTCTTTGAAGCACGTTATTACTACTACGCATGCGCATTTAAGATTTGGGCACCACAAGGATTGCAAACTTAGTTTGACACTAGGAAATTTGAAATTGTAGGGTGGTGGTGGGGGTTTGGGATGGTAGTAACTAAAAACTGTCCAAAGGTTATTTTTTGGTGTCCAAAAAACTGTTTTTGTGTGTGTGTGTAGTAGTAGTAGTAGTAGTCGTCGTAGTAGTAATAGTTGTAGTCGTCGTAATAATAGTATTAGTAGTAGTGTATCTTTCGACTGTTAAAAGGAAAGTGTCCATTGACTGAAGTAACGTAATCCCCACCAACATGTCCAGGAAAAGTACTCTGGTTTATGGTTACTTAAGTTGCTAATCCTTGTGGTACATTATAAACAAATGCGCATTGGATTTAATCTATAGTTACTTAAGTTGCTGGTCCTTGTGGTACATCATAAAAAAAGGCTGTTTTGCTTCACTGTCTCCTTAGTTGGTCGCACTGTGTAGCTCTTTACCTGATTCTAGTCTGTTTTGGTTCACGTAGCTTTCGTCATATTTTAATATTGATATTTATGTTCTGTTTTCATTTTATTTTTACTTCCCGTTTTTATTCATTTTATGCGCGACGGTCAAGGATTTACTTTAATTGCTTGGAAGTGACTTCCCCGGTAACTGTGATCTCTTTAAAATGTTGTTGGCCTTGTCACTGAGGTAGGAAGGAACGGAATCATATAAAAGTGAGACAACAAAACAGTAAAACATCTCATGGCTTTATTGTCTATCAAACTGAAAGTACATCTTTTTAAGTACAATTCAGTTCAACTATGTTACTACATTTTTTGAAGGTCACAGTATATGGGAATAAAATCTTTCGATGAAATCCTTCACCAATGCTTTAACGAAATAGCAAGCATGTAATCGCTCAGCAACGTGAGCAAATTCCAAACCCCTACCGAGACTGGATAACATTCAGGACTTTTGCTTCAAGAAAACACAGTGGTAAAGCAAGTTACGCGATGCGAGTGAACATAAATGGTAAAAATAAGCTTTGGATAAGAGGAAATTCGGATGCTTAAGCAACCATAACGGCGACACTCAAGAGAACGTCAATTACAAGAAAAATTTACATTTCACACAACAATCTCTTGATTAATTTTGTTACTTCTGTCTGTGTCAGAATTACCGTTATCTCAGTAAACATTCAAAAACAGCCTTCAGTTTTAAATACTGACAAACTTGATTGATTAGCTGTTGTGGTTTTCATTGTTCAAACGCGAATTAATGGTGATTTACGTTATAGTTTTGTAGAAGACAGCTAAGGAATGTACCAAGATATATAACCCAATGGTAGAACCATTGTTTAATGACGTTTTCATCGTCATTGCTATTATGGTTTGCTGAAACTTTTCACAACCGTTCTGAAAATGTTGCTTCCCTTTCGCCTCCAAAATGGAGCAAAGTACTGGTTGACTTACAACAAGTCTTAGCAAGAACGTAACAAATTACAGTATGCTTAGTTAAGCACACAATTATTCTGAAGACACTTCTCAAAGGAAGAATGACTACAAATTGCAATCTTTTTTTGGCATTAAGTTTTCGAAGTCGAACTTGATGTAATATATCAAACACGAGAGACATTGTTTCATCGGGATAACCAAACACCGAGAAGAGATAAATACGACGCGCAGCGGGATATTTTCCATGAACTTCGAGGTGTTTGGAAATGTGGTCAAACACTGTCTTGAGTGTTTGATAAATTCTCTCAATCGAAACAAAAGCTAAGGAGTAAACGGAGAAGTGAAATCGTCAAAATCTATGCTAATTTAGACCAGGTATCCAAACCTCCTTAGTGGTTGAGATTTTCTTTGTTTTAACTTGATGAATTATTAATGAGTTTGAGAAGTGTGATTCCGACACTAGATCAAGACAGTTCTTCGACAGTAGTTAACCTTCAGGAACACTATTCTTTAGATCTTTTGATAGTAGTTGTCTCGTGACTTCTTTAAAACATCTTGGTGAAGCGCGCATCACTGAAATTAAGAATAACACATTAATTAGTTTAAGATAAAAAGGAAAAAGAAAATCTTTCAGATTCTTTAGTCATTAATAATAGGGAAAAAACCTCTTACAACATTGCGTTGAATACAATCCTAACTCTGTGCAGCTGAGTTACGTCCGCTACTTTCGTAGGGCTCAGTACTTTCAAGAATTATTAGCAGCCACAATTTTTTGACTCTACCTGCGGGGCGTCGCTACTTTCAGAAGTTAAGATAGTTGCACAGTTCGGCGCATGGGCAAGATATGATGTAGCCCACAAAATTCCATTGTTTATAAACCAACTGATCAGATGCCAGTAGATAACTCGAATAAAACCGTCCGGCCAAATAACAAATTCGATATTTAAAACTGAGTTCGACATTTTCTGTGCAAATCCATTGATATCCTCCGTAGGCATCGGTCATTCTGGCAACTTTCGTGTAACCGTATGGCTACAAAAAGGCTACCATGCTGCTTTCACAAAATTATAGTCTGCGACTACTGAAATACATGTAGTTGAAACAAAAACGAAAATGGACTTTATGTGTGGAGTCGGAACATCCAAAAAATGGGAAATCTCACCTCAATCGCCACGTTTTCGCGACTAACAGTAACATTTTTATAGGCAAATTTCCCGTGAGAGTCATTTGCAAGCTTTCAATTGTTTTGTAAACAATAAATTGAACGCTAACGTTGTAGCTTGCACGCATGCGCCGAGTCGTGAAACCCTCCCTTCAAAGCGTGCCTCTAATGGTGGGAAATACGAACAAAGAACTTACTTGTCAGTTTCCTGCTGACTGATGCATCTCGCATGCTAGAAAGGTTTTGAGTAATCACTGAACACTTATCAGTTTTCATTTCGTAGCTAAGAACGAAAAAAAAGAAAAAATACAATTAAATCGTCCAGCCACCTTAACCTCATTGGTGGTCATCTTGAAAATAATTACAAAAGGTACAAGGAAAAAAACCTCAACTCACACCTAAATGGACAGCATTACATAAACACTATTTAACTCACTAGCAGGAGCAAGGACAGTCTTTTTAGAAGCTGCAGCTGTTGGCTATTGTAACCTGAAAGAGACAAAAAAGGTATATCAAGATTTTTAAAAGATCACGGAAATTCCATTCATTACAAGTGCATGACGATCGTTTAGCGTCACATTTGATATTCACGATGATCTTAGCAATGACGTAAATCGTATTTCCTTAGCAACCTTATCGAGGCGCATTTAAAGAGCTTATATTTGCTTTGTAATGAGTGACAGTGACTGAGACATACTCGAGACATAGGGAGTGATTTAGCTGTGAACATTAAAATAAATTACAACGAGATCGAGAGTGACTAGTGTTGATATCTGCGTTTCCAACAATAAGTGTCACCGCCGACGGGACTTACACACGAGGAGATGGATCTGGAGAAACTTATCAAAGAGATTGGGACGAAACTTCAACTTCTGGAGTTCAAAAAGAGCAAAGGGAAGGACATTGTTGCAAAGAAGAACACGGCTACTCTTGAGAGGCATGTGGATGCATTACCGACTTTGGCAAAAGAAGTGGATGAAGTTAAAGTGAAGATCGAAGAGGCAGAACAAGAAAAGGGCCTTTCCATGGAAGAGGTATGAACTTGGAGCAATGAAATAGATGAGAAAATTGAGGGTGTGGATGCTACCAAAGCTATCAATTACCAAGTTTGATGGGACTTTTGAACCATGGCTTCCGTTTTGGAATAAATTCAGCGCGGAAATTGATTCAACTGATGACCAAATTTGCCTAACAGAAGGAACTCATCCAACCAAAGCTACGGGTAGATACTGATGGGCTACCATTAAGCACGGAGGGTTATGAGAGGGCGAAGAATATTCTTAAGACAGAGTATGGGAAAACTCCAGAGATCACTAATGCGTATGCGACCAACATCATGGATTTACCAACTATCCTGGGCGGAAGCCCGCGAGAAGTTGATGTGTTTTACAAAAAGCTTTTGTACAATGTTTGATAGTCTCAGGGAATGTAAGAGCAATGTTGGACAAACTGAGAGGTATGAAGGCTGACCTGGTGCAGGGACAAGAAGGGTGGCAAGAGTGGGATTTTAGCCAATCATTACAAGCGATTAACCGTTAGGAAAAAATCAATCTGGTGACCGAAGAAAGGGAAAATAGAACAGTGCCAGACCGAAAGAATGACAGGCATCAGGGGAACTTTAAAAGGAGCTCTTACCAAGCCCAACAGGAAAATGGACGACAAATGCGTGGGAACGTTTACTGTGACAAGCCTGATCACTTTTCCGCTAAATTGTCCCAAAGTGGTTGAAGATCAAAGGAGACTTCTCAGCCGAAAGCAATTATGTTTTAATTGCACCGGTGACAGACACAGAGCTGAAAGCTGTAGAAGTCACGGATGCTAGAAATGCCAACGCAGACACCACACTTCCATTTGTGACCAAACAACTCAAACAACCAATGGACAATTTCTCATCGCCAATGACAAGAGCTGACCGGGTCAAGTCATTTATCCTGTTGTTTTGGTCAAGGTCAATGGATTTAAGTGTCGTGCATTCCTCAACACAAGGGTGGGTAGTTCCTATACGTCACCCACTATTTTGGATTATCTTGGCATTCGATCAGTTCATAAAGAATTCAAGCGCGTAGAGATGATGCTGGGATCTGTCAACAAAGTCATCGGCGTTTATATTGTGACGATTAACAGTCTCAATGGGAAGCTCCGACTGGAAACCGAAGTCACGAAAGTGGATCGCGGGAGGACATGTGAGTGATGGGGACAAAAAGGCTGAACTTCCAGTACACATCATACTGGGTGTAAGTGATAACACAAAGATAAGAACCGAAATGAGACCCAAGATTGGACTCCTAGGAGAGTCTGTGGTGGAGCTGACACAGTTTGGATGGACAATAATGTCATCAGGAAAAGAAATTGACATCTCGAGCATGCTTTTAACTCAGACAGCAGCAGCAGACTGTGAAGCACTATGCAAATTAAATGTGTTGGGGGATACAAGACAAAGGACATCAAACAGACCTGTACGATGAGTTCAAGAACGTGGAGGGTTGGTACGAGACTGGACTGCCCTGGAAAGGAAATCACCCTACGTTGCCTGACAACAAAGCGGAAAGCTTGAGATGACTGGACAGTACCATTCCAAAACTAGAGAAACAAGAACTCTTCGAGTAGTATGATGCAATCATTAAAGATCAACGTACTGAGAGAATCATAGAGCCTGCCACAGAGCACGTGGCGAGGAGAGAGTTTTACTTACCACACAAACCCGTGGTCAGAGAGACTGCTGAAAGCACAAAGCTTCGCACTGTCTATGACACTTCAGCTTGAGCGCATGACAATGCAACCTCACTCAAAGATTGTCTACATGCGGGTCCCCCCTTACAATATCAACCATTGGCAGTACTGATACGGACACGATTTCACCTGGTTCTGATAACAGGACCGTGAGTACCACCGTGACGCTATGCGCTTCCACTGGATTGCTGACCATGAGATGAGACGCGTGGAGATGCTGCAGTTCACAAGGGCGTTGTTTGGCCTTTCTTCATCACCTTTCCTGCTAGGGGGAGTAGTTCGACAACACTTAGAGAACTGTCGTGCAACGTATCCAGAGATTGTGAGCGAGATAGAGAAGAGTCTGTACCTTGACGATTTGATCAATGGTGGTCCTACTGTGACGGCAGCTATGCAAGTTAAGGAGACTGTGACCGAAATATTTGCCCAAGGTGGATTTACACTTCACAAATGGTATTCAAATGCCGCTGAGTTACACGCAGTCAGTACAAACCAGAGTAGTGACACGCAAGAAACCTATGCAAAGCAGCAATTGGGCGTTCCCCAAAGAGGGAAAGGATCGCTCCTCGGAGTTTCTTGGGACATGGAAAAAGACACCCTTGAAGTCAAGTTCCCCGTTGAACATGCCCAGCCTACCAAGAGAATCGTATTGGGAACATTGTCCAGAGTTTACAACCCACTGGGTTTGGACTCACCCACAATGTTTAGCGGGAAATTACTCTACCGCTAGGCCTGTGAACTGAAAATACCATGGGACACACAACTGCCAGATGGATTAATCAAAGAACTATCAAAATGGGAGGAAGGGTTACCTACAGGCGTAACCGTGTCCAGGCCCCTCACGGGCCACAGAGAAAACACCACAAAAATTGGCCTGCACTGCTTCGGTTGCGCGAGTGGTAGAGGGGTTTCAGCTGCCTTGTATGCTGTGGTAACCCAACCTTCAGGAGTCAGTGTGGGACTGGTGACTGTGAAAGCAAGATTGGCCAAGCAAGGCGTAAGCATTCCCTGTCCTGGAGTTGGTCTCGGGACACATGGCGAAAAACCTGATCACTAACACCAGAGATGCGTTGGAAGGGTTTCCTGTCGGTGAACTTCACTGTTGGCTTGACAGCCCAGTGGTCCTGCACTGGATAAGAGGAGCTGGTGATTATAAGCAGGTCGTGAGCAACCGGGTCAGTAAGATCCACTGGACAACATTCAGATGTGAAATGGCGTCATGTGACAAGCCCGCAGATCTTGGAAGTCGAGGTGGACGTGTACAAGGAGAAGACCTGTAGTGGAAAGGACCGAAGTGGCTGGTAGAGAGAGAAAACTGGCACATGATATCGTGACGAGGGTTACTCCTAAATCCCAAGCAGAGGCGAAAGTTAATAGAGAGGTGTTTGCTGGAGCTCGTAATGTAACAGACATGTTTGACGTGCTTTTCGAGAAGTTCGCTTTGTGGAAAACACTAAGAGTTTGTGCCTGGATCTCACGCTTTGTGTGCAACTCCCGTAAGCACAAGGAAGAGAGAAGTTTGGGACCGCTCACGACTGAAGAGAGTGAGAAACAAAAGTACTTCTGAACTGCACGTGCACAGAGTAGCGGAAAGAGATCAGAGAAGTTCGATGATGACAGACATCAACCGAACCTGCAGGAAACAAGTGATGGGCTCCTGGAGTGCCGAGGAAGAATTCAGGGGGATAACCCTATTGACCTTCCTGATACACACCCCTATACTAAGAAACTGGTGATGCTGTCACACCTGTTTGCACTTCATGGGGGAGTGGGTCTTACAGTGACTAAAGTGCACGAGCATTACTGGGTGCCAAGGCTAAGACGACCAGTGAAAAAGGTTATAAAGAGCTGCTTTGGCTGCAAATGATTCCAGGCTACTGCGCTGACAAACCTTCCTCCTGGAAGTTTATCAAGAGATCAAACCGAAGGAACAGCAGCATTCCAAGTAGTGGGTGTTGATTTCGCCGGTCCTTTGAGATATCGGAAGGGAAAGAGGAACGAAGGAAAAGCCTATATTGTACTCTAAGCGTGCAGCCTAATCCGTGGGGTATACCTGGAGTTGCTGCCGAGCTTGGAGACCGAAGAATTTATGAGCAGTCTAAAGCGATTCAAAGCACGCCGCGGACGCCCAAACACGTTCTGTTCAGACAATGGAAGAATTTTCGTTGGGGCAGCAAAACTTCTGAAGACCATTATGGCTGACGAGAAACTACAAGATTACCTAGTGCACTTTGAGATCAGGTGGAAGTTCAAATTGAGCAAAGCGCCCTGGTGGGGAGGGCAGTTTGAACGACTGAAAGGCCTGGTCAAGCGAACGTTACACAAAGAAATTGGCTGCGGTATGCTGACATGTGCTGAGCTACAAGATGTCCTACTTGACTTTGAAGTGGCTCTCAACAATCATCATTGAGTTATGTAGAAGACGACCCTCAGTTACTACTTAAAGCAAGCCTGAAAAAAATTCAGGCCTGAACGGGATTCGAACCCGTGACCTCTGCTTTATTCTCACAACTGCTTAAGTTGTGTGTATAACTGCTATGATCAATCATGTCTTCATATCTCTCTCCGCAGTTCAAATATATGATCTATCATATATTCACTTGTATTCTTCACCATCTACGAGTATAATTACGAACTCACAACATGACCAGCTCCCAGTCGGCTTGATAGCTCAGTTGGTAGAGCACTACACCGGTATCGCAGAGGTCATGGGTTCGAATCCCGTTCAGGCCCGATTTTTTTTTCAGGTTTTAATTTCACAACTGCTTAAGTTGTGTGCATAACTGCGACGATCAATCATGTCTTCATTTAAAAGTGTCTTTATTTTCAATAATGCAGCATTCTTGTGCTTNGATATTCTGCTCGATTCATGAATTGATCTCCTGGCCTATTGAAAATAATGATCAGTATCACAACAAATCAACCCTCTGAAGTTACAATCATTTTCACAGTAGTAATAATTAGAACAAAAGGTTATTAGAAATAAGTTAGTATTAATAAGACCGATTGCCACAGCCCCCAAAATTGAAGGTTCCATCCACTGATAACTAATGACAACAATAAAACTCCTAATTCCCTTTTTACCTTTCATGACAATATTTCCTCGCGTGCTGTTACTTTGGGAGTTAGAAAAGGATATGTGGGATTTAGATTTCAGTTTTTTTTTTTTTCAAAAACACTGTGCAAAACTCACATTGGTTCATGCATCAGTGTGCGTTCATCGAGATATGAAGCACACAAGACGTTTGGAGGGCATAAAAGTTCCTTAACAGTTCGCAGAGAGAAACTCTAGCTTCTTGAGTGCTCTCCAAACTTTCCAAATGCTTCTTATCTTGATGAACACCAATTATTGTTTTAAAATACTTGCAACGTGCTAGTTTAAAATAATGTTGTATTAAGAGAAATACGCTATTCTACGTCATCAGCATGCACAATGAGAATTTGAAGCATGCTTGCACAATTTAATTTGATTACACAAATTTACTAGCTACAGACTGTATTTTATAATAACTTTCGCCTTGAAATCAGATGCTATTATCAATTTGTTTTTCAACCTGCAAGGAGACAAAAAAGAGGAGAAGGGGAGACGGCCTGATCACCGGTTAATTAATTTCACAATTTAAACAACCAAGAAGGATGAATCAGGCCCTTCACTTTATTTTCAAAAAAGGTGGGTCAGTTCTGAAAAGAGGAATAGAGCCACATTTTATTGATATTGATGCAGTTCAGAAAAAGAACACTTATGGCTGTAAATCACTTACTTTGCCATATTATTTTGCTTGTGTTTTCGTTTCAACAGGCCAAGTGTTTTCATCACTACATGATTCTTCTTGTGACAACAGTAAGCCAGCACTGAGCATGAACTCAGAACAATCATTGGCCCAGCGAGCAAAAAGTTTGGAATTTGCTTTAACTCAAAGTAATGTAAAAATCCCACATCCCAGTAAGTATCCTGAATGTGTCAGTAAGGAAGTGGAAGCCACTTGTTACACCTTGGCAGTTAATCATGTGAAGTATCTCCAGCAAATGGAAAACAATACAAACTGTATCCATGTAACTGAAATAGGATAAACAGCACCAGCACAATACCATTCAGAAGTAACACCTTTAGCAGAGTAGTCACTGTAGAGAAGACAAATGCCATGTTGAGATGATCTAAGGACACTATGGGTAAGGTAAGTTCATAAGAAACAAAATGTTTTAATATGCTATGAGCTATGAAACCACAAGATAAGATGGCATTAGAACGCGTTGCACAACCGATACCAAACAGCAACAAAACCACGATTGAATTTTCTTGCTCAAAACGGTACAGCGCAGTGAGTTGAACGCAAGAAAACAAGCTTTCAGTGTAAAGACTAGACATGAACACACTTGCGGGGATTATGCAAAACAGAAGAGAAGAAATCGGGGCAACCTTGTTTCTTTTAAATAAATATCGAGTCAGTATATAAAACAAAACAGCTGCTAATGTGAAAAACAATGTGTTTTTAGTCCATCCACAAGCCAGAAGGGCACTGGCCCTGGCTCATAAAACATTTAACTGCTGGTTTGAATATCCAGGTGACGCGCGGTCCTATAATAATATCCAAGGATATAACGGGAAAAAAGCCATATACTGCTCATATTTGTATCCTTCTTCTGCTATTTTCAGAAAATAGGCAGCATCCCACTTCCCTAGTCCTCCGAATAGCTTTTGAAATAGTGAGTCGCTCCAGGTAGGCTGAAATGACATGAAACAAAGACTGCTCGACGAAACTCGAAGAGTCGTAGTCTTTGATGAATTCGTTGAAGACAGCCTGGAAATAAATTTCAACGAGCTCATAAAAAGAGCTTTAATTATTGTATGGCTGGTTTCATAAGACGTAACTTTTATTACCTGAAAGAAAAGAAAAAGAAATCTCGAAGAGATCGCACAGTGGATCACAAAGTCGAGTACGGCATGTTGAATTTAGGAACTGATACCGCTGATATTTCAGGAATGGGAAATGACGGCTCCTGTCTCTTTTCACTACGCAGACTCGTTGGCTGGTGACTTTCTTTCTCAGTGTTGCTTGTTTGCTTTCTTTTCTTGCCTGGGTTATGCTCGAAAATCACCGTCGCTTTTTGTAACCGACATGCGATGTTTTGTTCAATGAGAGCGCGCGAAAATAAATCAGGAAGTTCTTCTAATCAATATAACACGCCTTGAATGAAGTAAATATAAACGCACTGTAACTTATATACAAGACATTTTTTCCTCAGGCTGTTCGTTGGGGTTCACAAGTTTTTCTTGAACGAACTGTTTGTTCCTATACACTCTTGCATCACATAGAGGTTATGTTAGCACAACACCTGCCCAGGGAAATCATCCCATTTCAGGAAGGAGACGAACGCGGGTGATTTATGTTTTACCCCAGGAGTCAGAATGGGAGAACTATCGCCAGGGGCTGATGACTGAGAGAAGAAATGTACAGAGAACCTGAAAAACGTCTACATTGCATCCTTTTTCTTAATATAATTTATTTATTTTCTCTGCTTGAATTATTGTTTGGCTTTCAACCAAGTAAATGGTTTCTACAGATACAATGTCAATACATATATGCCGTGATTATTGGTTCCAATCAATGTAGCTTTGAATTGTTTAGCGGTTTGTATAATATCCAAACATCTTAACATGATCACTCTCCTGATAACTAAACCCTTATTCATTCCATAGGCATTCTACGAGGAACTTTAATAATCAAAATATTCCACTATAACAATTACAAATCTCTTCTTCCTCATTTAAGGAAAGACTATTACAAAAAAAAACTGAAACAAGCTTAAAGCTATAGGCAATCTGGAAGAACTCTTAAAAACATTAGTACTTCTGACAGGAATAGAATCGCCATCTGCGGTCCCTGAAAGTGCAACAACAGAAAGACAAATGAGAATATATTTAAATGCTTCAAGCCGGCCAAAGTTCCCCAGTGGATGTTTGCGCATGCTTACAAAAAAATGAGAGGTAAGAAAGAGAGGTGCCTGTCTGAGGTCAAACAACATCAGATTTCTTTTACTGCTCCATTTCATTGTCACACTAGGCAATTGTTCGCGCAATTTTTCCTGCATTTGGTGTTGACACGTGTTACAACACAAATGGCCAAGAGCTACACACTCTAAAAAATGAATAAAACGAACGTACAAACCGCGTGTGGCTATTATTGTCGTTTAAAACCAAGTTTCAGAATCATAGTCACACACATGCACGACTATGACTCTGTAACAGAGCCAAAATATTGTAAAACTTTTCTTCAGTTTAATAAACCAAAACTTGGTTTTTAACAATGATAACCATACGGTCGGGGGCCTCGTGTCATTCATTTTCTTATCTAAATTGTCAGATGGCTTTGGATTTCAACACACTCTAAACTGAATATCGTTGGAGGAGAATCTCGTCCAGGCCTAGTTACACTAACTACAATACCAGTGGAGAATCTTAGAGGTGAATACCAGGAAATATCAGAGGGGAAATATTAGATGGAAATATCAGAGGGAATAGGGTACCATATTAACTGCAGTCCCAGAAAGAAGACATCATAGGAAGAAATCAGAGGCAATAGCAGAAATATCGACATGAAAATAGAAGACAGGTCAGTGAATATCGCATGAGGAATTATGAGACCGAAATATTAGCGAAACTACGAAACCAAATGAGAATATCTATGTTTGAAGGATTTCAGAAGGGAAGGGAAAGTCATTGAGCAAAAACGAGAAATTTCGAGGGGAAATATCAAGGGGCAACATCGATATCAGCCTAGAGTTTCTGCCTAGACTTCCCTGAACGTCCTGCTACTTGCCCGGGGAAGTCAGCCTGTGGTATGATAGCATCAGTATTATCGAATGTTAAATGATGGTCTATCTTACTCGTAGTAATTGTGGTGATAACTGTGTGCTCCTGCTAAGTAGTACCCATAGGGGGTGTGGTAAGTAAAGGGCCTGTCATAATCGGTAAGGAAGCTCCATCTGCAGTTTTTCCGATGCCAGGAATGACTGTGGCAGCACCTGAACTGAAATCTAAAAATTAATTAAGTTTCAAAAAAACGTTGCAGCAATTTGTATGGCAACTGGAATATTTTCTGAAGTCTCATGAAAAATCTGGTCAGTTTCACTGTGTAATGCATTCCTCGTGTTTTAAGAACTTTCGTCAAAATCGAATTTGAAAGTGTGATTTTATTTTCAGCAAGACAAAGCATTTAACTTCGCCTGTTTGTGCAGATTTTTGAAAACATAATTATTTAGTCTGTTTAGTTTATTTCTCTGTGGTCGCTATGAAATATCACTGTTTGCTTTCTATATTCACTGCTCCAACTCCAAGATATATTTCAAGTTCTGTTTTATTATTAGGCTTCCATTTCTCACTGAGATTTGCGGACGGCTCAGTTTATAAGCTAAACTTTAACTGTGACAGTGCGACGTGCATTGGTTATTCACCGGCTTAGGTCAGTCCGTATAGGAAAAAACCGAGCCCTCAAGACCTTGGACACAGTTTTTCCCTATACGGACCTCCCAGCCGGTAAATTACATAAATATATATTTGCTGCTAAACAAAATTTATGCATGTTTCGATGCATCGAGCGAATTTAGCTTACCGACGATCTTCTTTTGCATTATTATGCCAGCTATATATGCCTGTAATGAAGCCACTGTGTGGACATTTATAATCCAACACCCCGTCATAGGAATTTAGTACATGACTCCAGGAGCAGTGTTCAGCAGCCGAGTTTGACTCACAGCTGANATGTTTCGATGCATCGAGCGAATTTAGCTTACCGACGATCTTCTTTTGCATTATCATGCCAGCTATATATGCCTGTAATGAAGCCACTGTGTGGACAGTTTATAATCCAATACCCCGTCATAGGAATTTAGTACATGGCTCCAGGAGCAGTGTTCAGCAGCCGAGTTTGACTCACAGCTGAAAGCCCAAATCCTGTCCTCGATGCAGTCTCTATGTTGACTTCTAATACGACTGACCGAATAGCCTGTTAATACAATAACAGAGCAGAAAAGAGTTCTCTTTTCCACAAGTATGATTACTTGTTACACTGTCCCCATTTTCTATTTTCCCTCCCCCAATGTTGAATCCACGTCAGGCACTTGGTGCAAAAAAAAAGTCCGTGGTGCGACTAACAATTATTTTTTCCGGATGTCTGATGTGAATTCAACATTGGGGGGAAAGAGGGGGAGGCATTTAGCGTAACAAGACGGCATTTGTTACCCTAGAGCAACTCCAAGGACTCCAGAGCCCTAATGTTTTGTTCCTTATTACCTCTCTAACTAAGAAAGTTTGTAAAGCCTTCAAGATACTGTCCTCAAGAGCTTCTGTTAGTCATAGTAACCTCCTCGGGATTACATCAAGATTCTTCTGCACGCGAGAAACAGAAGGTAACTACTGTCCCACTATGTTGAATTGTTGGTCTGGAGTCTCCCCTTTTACGGCCAAAGATTTGTTAGATTAATACATTTAGATACCTCCCACAAGAACATCGCGGAAATGAAATAAATTCTCTTTGAAAAATTTGATGGCACATTTGAGAACAGACTTTTTTTCAACGCTTTTCATTTGGGGAGCTTCTTCACTTTCTTTCACGTATGACGGCATGATTGATTTCTTGCATTTTGTTCTTGTCATTAGCACCATCATCATCATCATTGTTGTCATCATCATCATCATCATCATCATCACAGAAATTGCAATATATCTTATGGCTTGTGACATGTGTTATTTTCTCACCTTTCCCACAGTCATAGTCAACTAGACCATCCCAGACGTTCTCCCAGCTTTCGCCTGAAGGTCTGCTGTGGTCACTGCACGACGCACTGCCCAGGTTGATCAAGGTCGTGTCCAAGACAAACAGCACCAGGAGAAGACCTAAATTGAATCGTCGGTCCTTCATTGGTAAGACTTTCCGACGTGCTGAAACTGGACTGGATTAAAAAAAGAACAGAAAGGAATTAATTTGGGTGAGTTTACAGCCCAGTCGCCGAGCTTTATACTCGGGGACTCACTCAATAAAATTTTATTCGCGGAAGCTACGCTCGTAGATTTAACGTCTTACAGTTTCACAAACCATCTTTTACCGAATGGTACCCCTTTTGCTTCAGGCAAAAAAACTGTTCACAAATGCTCTGAAACAGGAAAAACAGAGGTTCAATTCTGTACCATCTTTTTTTTTTTAGTTAAAATGCTGAGTAGCTTTAAACCAGCAACACAATGACAGATCTAGAACTTTATGTAAGGTGGAGTCTACAGGCTTTTAATGAAGAAGCTTCAAGACAGAGTTGACAATATTAATTTTGGTCCTTTCAGGCTTCAGTTTCTTTGTCAATATAAGCACAGACCTTACCTCTACATCTGCCACCATGAACTATAGCACACAGTTCATCAAGTCCATGGGTAAAAGTTGCAGTGCAATGCAGTTCCAATAAAGAAGTATAGGAGAAAGTAACCTAGAATTAACTGAGACCTCCACTTGCTCCTGCATTTCTTGTGATTTGGCTCAGCAGTACAATGTATCTTGTATAACGACACGAGCAGAGTACCAGTAAATGAGTGGAGAGGAAGAGGCAATGAATCTTGTGATGACCCCACTCTTATAAATATACAGCTTTAACCCTCATTTAAAGAAGGAGGAGGAGCAGCAACAGCAGCAGGAGGATCAGGATCAAGAGCAGTGGCAGTGGCAGTGGCAGTGG